ACTGCTTTGTGGATTGCTTAAGGCATATTGTACATAACTTTTCCACTGACTGACTCCAGTTGAGCTTTCTTTTTGTAGAAAGAAAAAAAAAACTACAGCGACTATGTACTACTATATATTAACTAACTTCAACAGCAGTTACAAGGTGTACAACAATAGATTTTATTATTTTGTCTGAACTTCATAAAATACAGGAACTCAATAACTCTTCATTGATACAAAAGATTCCACAAACATGATTATCATTTTGATATATACAGAATGATACAGCAATATAAGGGCAGAATATTCAGAACACAGATACGTAATACACTCTTGCATGTAGTTTCATCAAATTAGTATATCAATGAATATTAGGTTCTTTCTTAATTCCAAATCATCCCAATATATGCAGATACAGCAAAGATTACAAAAATAATCTTGATACAAGTAACAGTTACATATACTATATACACTATTGTATAGTTTCATTAAGTTGGTAAATCAATCAATGGATATTAGTTTTTTGTTAGACAATTTTGTTTAGTTACAAAGAAACTAAAATCCACACTGACATTGACTGATATGGCTAAGATACATGTAGTACAACGTTAACTTTGTTTCTTCACTCTGGTTTATCAATCTGGAATGTTCAAAGTAGTGCACCAAAACTGTTCCTACAAACTATTACTAACATTTCATAGATCATCTCAATGTCCTCATCCTGGGTGAATTTGGCACTAAAACTGGTTTGTTTGGTTTACATCACCCTGAGCTGGTGTTGTCTGAAACAATAAACAATATATTATACAATACAATAGAATATGATATTCAATATACAATACAATATACAATTATATAAGTATGCAATTCCAGAAATAGTACACATAATTACACATAACAAAAGTGGGATATAATTTTTGGCATCCTGCATAGAAACAAAATCAGTTCTATATCAATGTCCCCAACATGTTGGAGTGACCAGTTAATTATAACTTTCTAAGGCCATGTTGATTTGATTATATGGATGACATCCTCCGGGAGCCCCAAAACTGATGCCCACGTGCGAATAAAAAAAGTTTTGCAAAAAAAAATAGTTCTTTTCATTATGAAATCTACTTGGTCATGAGGGTTGAGCAAATGGCACAGAATATGGTTTGGCGAATAATCTAGTCTTCAAGTTCATTTCTTTACAATTTCCCATTTTTTCGTTTGATTTTGGCATTCCACGACATTGGTATAGTTTTTATTAATTTATTTTGTAACTTATGGTATATTTTTGCTCATTTTGCAACTGTTTTCTACGATTTACAGTATGGTTGAAAACTTTTTTTTTTTGGAAACGGCCGAAAATTCATGCGCGCGCGGATGTGATCCATATAATCAAATCAACATGGCCTAACTATATAATTTCAATACAGCATTTAATTTACTATAACCTCGCAAATCCAGTATACTGACCTGAGCTGAGGAAATGTACAGAACAGGTCGCCATGTTGAGAACTCAGTATGGGTACAGCTCCAGACAGCTGGCTGTGGTGTCCGCTCCCTCAGGAACTAGCCTCCTATTGTAGCTGTACATGGAAAATGGAGAACAGAGTTGCTTAGTTACAACAATTAACATAATATTGCCATTATAATTTAAATAACAGAATATGGGAGTAAATCTACTGATAAAAAAGAGATTCATAAACTATTTGATGCCATGTAGGTTAATGCACCACACTTACATACAAAATTGGTACATACCTTATAGAAGTATGTGTACCAGAATAAGTGTGTATCTATAAGCTGCATTTATTACCTTCGCCAAGAAGGTTATGTTTTCAGTAGCGTTTGTCCGTTTGTTGGTTTGTTTGTTTGTTTGTTTGTGAACAGCATAACTCAAGAAGCTTGGTATGGATTGTCATGAAACTTGGTATGTGGGTAGGACTTGATGAGACCTAGAAATAATTAGATTTTGGGCCCCCTGGCGGCTTTTGTTGGTACTGCAGCAGAACTTCCGGTTTTGATATCTCGCGATGTAGGTATGCTAGGGTCACGAATTTTGGATCACAGATAGCTCTTGGGGTAGGAAAGAAGTGACATGAGTTTGGGCCCCCTAGCGGCTTGTTCTGGAACTGCAGGAGCATTTGTTGAAAAATTTTCGAAGGATGATAACTCAAGAACCTGTTGACGGATTGTCGTGATTTTTGGTATGTAGGTAGCTGAAGTGATGCTTGACATAATCAAATGACAGTTATGCAAATTAGGAGCTAATTTGCATAATTAATGAGAAAATTCTATAAATCTGCTTTGTTCGATAATAGGACTATGAAACACTTGTGACATGTAATTGAGAATAAAAAAACATCTGAGGATATAGATTATGTAAATGAAGACCTAATTTGCATAATTAATGAAATTTTTTTATAATTTCATAGTTGTAACTACTGGGAATTTTATACTTGCCACATTTGGAAGTTAAGTGAAGGCGAACATCAATAAACATAATTTATTCAAATCATGACTTCATTTGCATAGTTTATGAGGAAGTGCTATAATAGCCTTTTTGTTAAGATAAGACTGTCATTAGGTGGAGAATATGATCAACTGATATAACCCATGCAAATGAGGATCTTATTTGCAAAATCAATTATCAAAATTGTATGATACTTCAACTGCAAGGGTTAACATCATTTGGCGAAGGTATGAGATCGTGGAACTCTTGTTAAAAGTTGACTACAAATATAAATATATAGTGCAGTCTTGGATGTACAGCAAAAGCCAATTTACATATCTTAGCACATTCTATTAAATACTTGATACTCTTCAAGTCCCTTTAAGATACCCTGGAGTAGAACATGCCTATAGGATAACCAATATAACTCACTCTAGCCTCTCCAGTGTTGGGTGTTCCTCAGCAGCCTGCACCACAGCCTGGAACCCTGCAGGCTCCATGGAGATGCGCTCCAGGTCCAGCTGCTCCAGGGCAGGGAGTCTGGGTAGAGCCTCGGACAGATCCATGGCAGCAGTGTCAGACAGGTGTGTACGTGTGTCCCAGGGGTCACCAGACATGTTCAGCCTTGTCAGTGCCGGCAGTGTGCTGATGACCTGTGCGACCCTCCCCAGTCCGGCTCCTGTTACTCCCTCATTGCTCCCAATGTCTAGCTCCTGTAGTGTGGTGTTATAGTGAGGGGCTGTGGTCAGACTCTTGTCACCAGGTGGGTTTTGTTCCATGTCCAAACTGCTGGGCTGGCAGAGTGTTTGCACCAGTGAGACAATCCCTGAGTCCCCTATGTTGTTGAAGCTCACACCCAACACCTGTAATTGCACCAGGTGAGGCAGAGCTTTGATCAGGGATGATATTCCCCTGTCACTGATACCTGTCCCATTGAGAACCAACACCTTTATGGCTGTGAGGTAGTGGAGGATAGTAGCCAGGCATTCCAGCCCGGGGTCTCCTATGGCATTATCCCTAATGTCCAGTTTGATCAGTCTGGTTAACTTACACAGTACAGGGACCAGTGTGCGCATGCCTGTGGGGCTGATACCGATACAACTCAGGAGCAACACCTGCATGGCAGTGAAGGTGTGGAGGACGGTGGTGAGAGATTCCAGCCCAGTGTCACCGATCTCATTCCAACTTATATCCAGTTCTCTCAGTCCCACTAGGTGGTGCCTGTAGGGAGCCAGGGATGACATGCCCACAGCTGTCATGTTGACAAACCTGAGACGGAGTACAGCCAGGTGTGGAACACTGGACAGCCCAACCTGTAGGACTTCCATCCCAGCATCACCAAGGTCACGGTTCCAAGAAAGATCCAGCTCCTCTAACAGAGACATGTGTCTGAACCCCTGCACAAGTGGCTGGAGTGATGATGGTGTTAGGTTTGTGCGTGACAGATACAGTGCCCTCAGACAGGGAACATTCTTCAGAACTGAAACCAGCCTGGCTGTCAGATCAGGTGAGTCAAACTGTCCCCTCGATAGTTTCAAGTCCACTTTAAGTCCAGGGAGTGAAGTTGTAAAACACTGCTGTAGGTACTGAACTGTGTCTCTGCTGTCAGTGCCTCCACGGATCTTAAGTATGAGCCTGTCTGGCAGGTTTGCTGAATGAAGATTTTGTATGTAATACTTAAGACCTGTGGCTTCTCTACTGTTAATGGAGCTGTCCAGCATGACAATTGGCAAGGCCTGACTGATACCCTGAAGCACTTCTGGTTCTTGTCTCTCACTAAGGATGTTCAGGCACAAGTGTGCAAACCTTTCATAGGTTTGGCAGGACTTTTGCACTTCTCGATCCATTGGCACATTTGATTTTTGAAACTGTTCAGGTTTCAAGTGTGAGAACTCTCTGCTGCTGAGCTTGCTTAGTTCCTCCATCACAGCTTGTGTTGCCTGTGAGTCACAGCCACATTTGAACTGAAGCAGGTTACTGAGTTCAAGTGCCTTGCTTATGGAGGTGAGCTGCAGCAGCTCAACAATGTCTTGGTTGACTTGAGTATGACCTACATATCGTCCGGCCAGGAACTCTTGCATGGTCTTGTGTGAAAAGTTCAGCTGTTTCCTTGGATGCAATTTTGAGGAAGAAACCTCCAAGGAGACCACACCCAACTTTAACAGTAACTCCCAATTCACCTTTTCTCTCTTCACTTCTGTAAGGTCAAGCAGGGTCTCATTCCTCAGCAGTGCCTCTAGTGCAAGCTTGCCAAGCTGCAGTAATGACTCAGCAACCTCTGTAGGCAGCCCTTCTGTTGGCATGTCCACTCCTTCCCGCTTACAGCACTTTCTGACCAGACATGTCAGCAGGTTGTCGTACAGCCCCATCATTGTTCCAGTAGACACCATCTCTTGGTCCTCCTCCCACAGCAGACACACAAACATCAGGAACATTGGTGTATAGATTAAAGTGTTCAAAAGTTGATAACTGTTTACATGTACAGCTAGTGTCTTTGTCAGTTCTTGCTTCCCAACAACAGTGAAATACTGCTGCATGTATCTCCACACATGACTACGGGAGAATCCCATGATGTGTACGTGACAGTCTGGCCGGGTATACTGCTGCACTCCTGCTGAGGGTCGGGAGGTGATCACAATCGTGCTGTTGAGGTAAATCTTGCCAGACAGCAGTTTGGGAATGGCCTGCCCGACTGCCCTGGCCTCAGGCCGCAGCTCATCATACCCATCTAGGAGGAAGAGCACACGGGACTTGTTCCTCTGTAGGATTGTTCTAATGGACTGTTCTTCAATACCTTCAGTTGTTTCATCAACACACTGGTCCCAGACCATCTCCTCTATGGTCTCCCCCTCTCTCACCTCCCGGAGTCGGATCAACAGGACGATGTTGTGCCGTCTGCCCAGCTCTGTTTTCTGTGAGACGGCATCTAGAGCTTCTTTAGACAGGAATGTTGTCTTCCCCCCTCCAGCTTCACCCTCAATCAGAATGCGCCTTGGTGCTGTAGACAGTCCTGTGACATCTGGCTTGAACAAGTCGTCTAATGACTTAAGTTCTGTTCTTTGTTCTTCTTTCTCTGATAATAGCCAGGAATATTCTTCAGGTTTGGGTATTTTGAGTTGTTTTTCACTTTTTGGTATCAACTCTAACTGGGTGAAGATGTCACTGAGGCTAAGTGTGAAGTTGTCATTCCAGATCAGAGGCTTGAAGTGAGTCAGTTTCAACTCATAGTACTTCTTCACAGACTTCTGGAACAAATCTGGAACAGAAAGAACATTGTTGTACATGTAAGACTTCAAAATCATTCTTAGAGAAAATAAAACTGATGCAAGACAGCAATACATATTTCAGGGAAAGAATCTTGTCAGCTTGAACTCATGGTACTTGTTGCTCACCAACCCAGTGCCTTCCATTACAGCAAAAAGTTTTTTAAAGTTAAAACTTTTGATCCAACACAAAAATTCTCTCACCTAGAGCATTCGACCAGTCACTCTGGTCTTTTTCAGTAAACTGACCCAGTGAGGCTGATACCTTTGACCCAGTGTTGAGAATTTTTGTGTTGGATCAAAAGTTTTAACTTTAAACATGTAACTACCAACACAGATGAACTTTCATGACAGGAAAAAGTTATTATGACAGTTTGCACATTTTGTGTATAGGTATAACTATGTGCCAAAAAAGGTACTTGCAGTACTGATTTCCGACTTGAATTTCGATTCCTGTCTGATTCCCACCTGTCTGATCCGCACCTGTCTGATCCCCACCTGTCTGATTCCCACCTGTCTGACTCCCACCTGTCTGATTCCCACCTGTCTGACTCCCACCTGTCTGACTCCCACCTGTCTGATCCGCACCTGTCTGATCCCCACCTGTCTGATTCCCACCTATCTGATTCCCACCTGTCTGATTCCCACCTGTCTGATTCCCACCTGCCTGATTCCCACCTGTCTTATTCTCACGTGCCTGATTCCCACCTGTCTTATTCTCACCTGCCTGATTCCCACCTGCCTGATTCCCACCTGTCTGATTCCCACCTGTCTGATTCTCACCTGTCTGACTCTCACCTGTCTGATTCTCACCTGTCTGATTCTCACCTGTCTGATTCTCACCTGTCTGATTCCCACCTGTCGGATTGACAACTGTCACTGAAGAAGTCTCGGTTCCTGCAGCCCCAACTGGAACTTCTGGAAGTGGATAGAACTGAACTATTTATCTTTCTCAATATGACAACAAGACAATAGTTGCACTCCTTTAATTTGTTTCTCACAAGCTAACATTTCAAGATTTCTAGAAGTAAAAAGGATTGATTGATACATGTACTAGGTATTTGTTGCTTTAGAAATACCATCTGTATGTTTTTCCCAGACTGGTAGAAATGAAATATGACTTGACATTTAAAATCAAATCAGTAAAGTTAATAGCCATGTTAAACATGTGTACTGAAGAACCTTCAGTATCAATTAATATTGTAAGTATAAGTATATGGAATAGTCATTTAACTTTGTACGATTAATTTATTAATGGTTGTTTTATTTCTCATGCATGATGCATCCCTTATCCAGATTCTTTTGCTACAATGAGACTATAGATTGTTGCTATATGGGTATTCAAAAGTTCTGTGTGATAAAAAATTAGATACAACTATCACAATCATTGGAATCTGTAGTACCATCTCATTCCTTATTTAACCGGTAGTGTCTTCTCAAAGTCTCTCACTCTAAATATATCTTCATCTTACACATATGTTACAGTATCGTAAAACAGAATTGGTTCAAGGATAACATCAAGCTAGAGGTGTTATTGGGAAAACTTCCATTTTAAAGAGCAACTAAATGCAACGGTATTGTAACAGTGGGGGGTTCATAGGTGCTACCAACTGACCTGGCTGATGGGTCTAGAGTTTTAGCCGAATCGTTAGAGCGTCGGCACGTGGACTGAGAATCTGAATCCATTATAATAAGAAAAGGTAAATGCACCTTCTAAACTCTCTGCAGTCGCCCGTTCATCAATGTCAATAAGTGCCTGCTTCAGAACCTGTAGAGTAGCCTTCCTTCCCTCCCTGTTTCTCCACCTGTGCAGCACTTCTCTGCACCTGTGGTCTTGATCACGCTCATCTGTCCTGATTCCTTTTATTTTGTTCTCGTTGAACCCTAACTTCCGGGCCAGGTCATCCCACTTGTTGCTGGCGCCATTGATGACTTTGTCGAAATATTCCTGCACATCAACTGTAACGTTTAAGGGCATTTCATGATGACATGAATATAACCAGTATTATGTATGAAGTATGATACTTTTGTGGGTACTGCTTTGTCATTTGCAGTTGTAGATGCTGGCATTTGTTAACCTTCTAAAGCACCAAACATTAAGGCTAGAATGACAGTTAAACCTTTGGATTGACAAACTGTTGTTTCTCATTGAAAATCCAAATAAGACCGTTGAAAATTTGATCCCTGTGTACCCTTGTGTTCAGCAATGCATGTAAGATTGGAATTGACCATCTAGCAGTTAATCATGATCATATCCTCCACTCAATGACAATCTTATCTTCACAAATAAGACTATTCTTGTATGTCCTAATGAGTTATACAAATGAGGTCCTAATTTGAATAAGTTACTTAGTACATTTGCTGATGCTTACCTTCAAGTTAACTTCTTAATGCCAGAAGTATGATATTACCTATAGTTACTACTATGGATTAATAGCATTTTCTAATTAGTCCTATCAGGGAACGTAGCAGATTTAAAGAATTCCTTCATTAATCATGCAAATAAGGTCCTGATTTGCATAAATGTCATTTGTAATTTACTTCTATGTACAGTGTATCATCCATAGCAGGACTTTATTGAACAGGCTTGGCACATAAAATGTGGCCTTTTTATTATATTATCATCAGAATGGTTCATTCTTACCAGGTTGACTGCCTTGTTGGTTGTCAGCCATTATTTCCCTGAAAGTGGCTCACATGTTTCCTGTGTGGTGCAGAATCATGGAGTTTTATTTGTCATCATCATCATCATCAAGAATTAAATTATTTCTACCTGAATTGTAGATATGATAATCATAAACTAAATCATATGGTCACCTTTCCTCAATAAGATACATCAAGGAGGTTAAAATCTCCTTGGATACATGTATGTGGCGGCGGTACATTACAGAGGATTGGTACCCAGACTAGATCTGTACAATTTGTCAGCTACATGTATAACCTAATCATGGCAGGATCTGATGTTAAAACTGACAAACCCTACATTCACCAATAAAGTATAATAAAATAAAACGCAAAATGTTTTAAATTTATAAGCCATAAACGCCAATAAACCACTTCATTCCAAAACGCCACACAAACCAGCGTCTATTTATATCGGAATGACGTCACTGGAAATCCCGGGCGTGGGGAATCCCCTCTTCAGCTAACCCGGAAGTAAGCCCCCCTCCCCATCCGCCATTTTTTTCTGTGGTGTTTTCGAACTGAACCGAGAGCCTATGCCTAGCGATATATTAGACGTTAAACAAGGACAGCAACAACTACAGCTTTGCAGCTGAACTTGAGTTTGCTAGGTTTGAAAACTCGCGGGTAACTTTGTTTTTAACTGATAATCTGCTCATCCTAATTTTACCTCAAGTCCAAACGGGAAACAAAGTTGCAAAGGAAAGCGAAAGTACGACCGTAAAGTACCGTTAGAACTCGGTAGTTTTGTGTTCTGATCTCTCTTCTCGACACGATATTGCCGACAATTCACACATATCTGGTGGATCCTGAAACACTGAACAGCCGACAGACGGGATCTGTACTTACTTTCTTCATGGATGTCCCCAGAAAACTTCCTTCAACTTCTGGAACCGACTTTCGGGAACTTTTTGTACTTCCTCTTTCCACCATCTTGGAACTTGGAATAGTTTATTAGACAATGGGGGTGTTTTTATCTTAAAAAGCGAAAAATAGTAACTTTGCAAAATAACCAAATGTTTACGAGTGCTAATAGTATACTGTTGTAACTTATATCGGATGTGATATAATAAACTTATCAATTGGCTATCAATGAAACACAATCTTCCTTCGACTCCCGTGAGGTGAAGAAAATGGACTGTTCCGTGAAGGTGCCACCTGAGGGCAAGTTTTTGGCGACGCCTCTGGGGCGGAGCCTATGATGCAGTGTTAAACTCAAGTAGAAATTGTTCTAAAATCTCCCTCTCTGTCATCCACAGTGAACGGATTTGTGCCAAAGTTCATGGGCTTTTGAGACTGTTTTGTAAAGAAAAGTTGTATTTTGGAGTGAAACTGATGGATGCTCAATCTCATCATTTCAGTGCCTGGGTCTTTTGTGTCCCGTCGTTCTTACCGGCGCACGTCCGCCAGGTACCCGGCGCGTCAGGTGTCTCCGTCTTTTGTCTCACCTGCGGCCGCCCGGTGTAACATGTCACCAACATGGCGGCCGCTGATGATGCAAGACTTGTCCGTACACCAAACGGCTAACTGGGGTCACTTGTGTTCCCCATGACACGTTACCATTAGCCTCTACCAGGCTTCGGGAGGCGGCTGGAAAGAGTAAAAATTGGTCAAATAGAAAGATAACATGCCGAGGGAGTTGGTCCGCTAGAGAGTACGTTTTGCCATGGAGTTAAAATATTGTATTTAACCTCCTTGGTTTTGCCGCACCCGAGTGCGACAATTTCTACTCCGGGTGACCGATTTCTACTCTTCCCAGCCGTCTCCCGAAGCCTGGTAGAGGCTAACATTACCATGGGAACGACCTTGTTGTGTTTGTGAACACGTGTGTGTGTGTGTAACCCTTGAGAGTGCTGACAAAACCGGAGGTGTGAAGCTCATGTTAAATTAATGCAAAGAAAAGTTAGCAAAGTAGGATTTGTGTGTACCATAGCCATAGGTTCCAATCTCAATGGAATGAGTGATTCTAATACAAACTTGTTATTATACACATGTCTTGCAGATTAAGACATTCATAGCACTGTGCTAGACAAATCATACAAAGAGATACGAAAGTTTAGACTTTTCAAACACTTTTTATTAAGACTATTTCAGTCAGCATGAAGATATTTGATAGGCATATATTGTTTCACCACTCCAGTCTGTATTTTGCAGATCCCCTTTATTATTAATTTGTGCCCTGGTATCAAAATGTTTATCATATAAGCGGATAAGTTAAATGTCGCAATACTGTCATGGAAATTGGATAAGGTCTCCAAGCAGATGTTGGGGGGAATGATGGTAATGTTTTCTGAGTGACAACAGGACATCT